TTTCCTACACCGTTTACTCCCACACATGTCAAACCAGCTCTGCGAAGGATACCTTAATGTCGCGTATAACAGCCATGCTGATTCTTGTGCCAGCCAATGTCAACTGAGGCTTCTAGGTTTTGCGAGAAGAAAGGACCAGAGATTTACAAGTTATCCGTAGTTGTCGAACACAGGCAATTACAAGCTTGATTGCTTGATAAGGCTGTTGGCATGTGTATTCAAAACGTCATTGAGCTAAAAGTCAGATCCTTGAATGGCAGTACCATATCAGTCATTGTTAGGCTAACTGTGGCGCCCTACATCCCATATGTTGTGTCCTTTTCTTCGTTTCTTTTTGTTCTCCACCTGTTTTCCAGTAGGGCTGTGTCAATAATAAAAAATAAAAATAACACACAAAAGCATTATCATTCATCACACTAACAAGCTTATAATTGCCAGTGTTGGACAGCAACGGGTAACCTGTGAGCCTTTGTTCCATCCTTCTTAACGTTTCCCTATCTATGCAAATACTTACTTTTTTTTTTAAGTAGCTGCAGGGGGCGGTTTGCCATTTTTGGGCTCCTCTTGTATTCAGTAAATCTTGCAGTTTTGCCCCTCAGGGGCTGGCTTAGCACGATGGACACAAATGTATGTCGTGATATCACAGTGGATGATCAGTTTGGTGTTCCAGACCCCGTGCACAGTGCACTGGGACAGTGTTCGTTGATATGTCGAAAGCTTTCGACCGTGTTAAGCATGAACGTCTAGTTACAGTTTTGTTTTCCCTTGGTATAGCTGGAACTGCATTATAATGATTCACTGACTGACTAACTCTCAGGGAGCTTTCAGAGTGTAAAAGTTCTGGACTCTGTTAGTGAAGCCGTCAGTTGCTCCCGTGGTGTTCCACAAGGTAGCGTCCTTGGGCCACTGCTTTTTGTGCTCTACACTAGTGAACTCCACACCATACTGCCACCGTCTGTACAGCACCAATAATTTGCAGATGACATTGTCATCGACTGCTCCCATTCTGATCCTGCTGTAGTGTGCAGAACCCTCACGAAAGCCATGACAAACCTTGCTATCTGGCTGGAGGACATTGGCCTGCTCCTCAATACTTCCAAGAAACAATTGCTCTTCATCCGGCCACGAGGCAAAGCTGCAATACAACTAGAGGTCTTCTGCAATGGTGAGAAACTTTGTGTGACCCCTACAGCCCAGTACCTTGGTTTAGTCCTGGATAATGATTTATCTTGGCCTCCACATGTGGAGTATATTGGTCGCAAGACAGCGCAAACAGTTGGTCAGCTCTGGAGGCATGGACGAGGACTGAGTTTGCTTGCCCGGCGAACGGGGTTCCTGAGCATGATCCTTTCCCAGCTGTGTTATGGTTCACACAGTTTCTTTCCAGGACTTAGCGCACACCTGCTTGGTCAGCTTGAAAAGATGTTCAAGGCTGGCATCCGTGCAACCTTGCAACAGCGGCTCTTGACTCCAACTGCCCCGCTGCTCTCTCTGCTCATTGTCAGTCTACCACATACATATACACACAAAATTGTCGTATATGTTCATCGATGCATTAACTCCTCCCAGAGCCCCCTTTTTCAACAAGTATTCACCCGAATGGCCCCAGAGACTGTTCGGGAGGATCAGTGACAAGTGTCGAACTTGCTTCAAGTTCCCTTTCTTCGTGGGCATGCGGGACGATCGACCATGATGTTTCGGGGAAGCATTCTCTGGAACTCTCTCCCCTCTGATTTTAGAGTGATAGGTGTCCCTGGTCACTTCTGGAAAGCTCTTTCTGCCATTGATATACTTACCTTGTGAATATTCTCGATATAACTTTATTATCTGCCATAAACTCCAACCTTCTCATCTATCAATAATTTGTGCATGCATGTCTATAAAATCAACCACGTATTCCTGACTCCATGACATTGTCTTTCCATTCTTTGACTCCATGAAATTATTGCCTTTCTAATTCTGATTCCATGAAATTGTCTTCATATAATTTTTTCCTTTTCTTCTTTTGATCCTTTCTGTCTTATATTATTATCATTTCTTGTTTTCCTTTGCATATCATCCCAATATCATTCTGTGAGAACCTGTCCTATGGGCAGGTGAGAAGGCATCTCTGCCTGTTCATTTGGTGAAGTGAAATAAACAACAACCACAACAACAATCGATCCTGCCGCGACAAAGTCATGAGCATCGCCCAAGAACACTGCCAAGTTGCTCGCAGTCACCCCCCTTGGGACAGGAAGAACGTGCCAGCACGACCATGGATATCAAAGGGCCTCTTGAAAGAGATCAAGGATAAGCACAGAAAACACAGAATGTACCTTCACTCACGCTCGCCCGACGACTGGAACACGTTCACAACCCAAAGAAACCGTGTCACCACCCTCCTGCGTCGTGCAAAATCGGATTTCGTAAACAACTCTACAGCCTCCTCTACTTCCCTACACCGCCTCATGAAGCACCTGACTACAGCTACAAAACAACGCTTACCCGAACTCGTCAGCCAAGCAACTCCTGCAACGAAACCCCAGCACAAAAAGCTGCTGCCCTCAACGAATTCTTCATTTCACAGAGCAACTGTCTGTGGCCAATGCGGATGAGTAATTTCCAGGCATCAACACCACCCCTGACATCCTCAGTCCCTTTCAAGAGATCTCGACTTCCCAAGCCGAGGTCGAAAAACTTCCCCGCGGAGTTGATACCAACAAAAGCCCCGGGTTCGACTCTATTCCAAACCGCCTACTCAAAGAAGCGGCTAAGGAACTTGTACCGTCGTTATCGTCCCTCTTTAATCTATCCTTCCAAACCGGAGAAATCCCACAGGAGTGGAAAGATGCCACCATTACTTCAGTTCCCAAGCCTGGTGACCCAACCCAACCAAAAAATTATAGACCCATCTCTCTCTTGAGCACTACATCAAAAATCCAAGAGAAAATTGCAAATCAACTCCTCTACAAGCACATCACACCCACCTGCCCAACCAGCAGTCCGGATTCCGTGAGAAAGACGGCACCGAGCAGCAGCTCGCCCGTCTCAGCCATCTCCACTGCGAGAGACGACGGGAAACACGTCAATGCCTGCTTTTTTGATCTAAGCAAGGCCTTCCATCTTGAGTGGCATGCAGGCCTTTTAGCAAAACTCTCCCACTATGGTGTCCAGGGCAACACCCTGGAGTGGTTTCGGTACCTGTCGGGGCGTCGGCAGAGGGTCCAGGTGGATGGCGGCCTATTGCCTTTCCTCGAGATCCCTACCAGCGTCCCTCAGGGATCTGTTCTTGGGCCGCTTCTTTTCCTCGTCTACACCATAGACCTCCCACACGCATGTGAGAACCCCGGCACCACCTGTAGCCAATTTGCAGATGACACCGCCCTGTTTTCCATAGCGAGAACTCTTCAATACTGCACCTGAAACCTACAACAGAGTGTCACAGCAGCTGGAGACTGGCCTCAAAGTTGGCACCTGCTGGTTAACACAAAGAAAACAGTCATCCTCCCGTTCTACCACAATAACCCCCCCCCCCCCCCCTGAACACCTAGCCCAGATCAACCTCAGGAATAGTCCGCTTACCGTAGCATAAAAACACAAACACCTCGGAATAATCTTTCAGCATGACCTCCGTTGGACGCGGCATGTTGAATACATAGTCAAAAAATCACTCAGTTCTTTCAATATTCTTTTAGACTAAGGTCTACACTAACCAGTGATTCTTTATCTCACATCTATCAGACATACATACTACCTATATTCTCATATGAGAGCAATGCTCTCACACCGTTGTCACACACTTCCCTTGACAGGCTAGAACGACTCCAGCGGAAAGCCGCCAGAATATGTCTCCACCTTCCCCTTTACACACACTTAGAACATTTTCACCTTTTGCACCGCATCAAACGGCCAACATTATTTTCACTCTTTAAAGTTAAACATATACTCTTCGCGCATTCTCTACGCCACAATTATGCCCCACCACATATACTCTTGCTGCATACTGCTAGCACCGTGTAACCTTCGTATAATTTACATCGCTCTCGTACTTGGCACTTGCCAACTTCGCGGACTGACTGCTGTCTCCATTCTCCCCTGTACAAGGCCCTTCATCACTTTAGTTGCTTGCCCACCCAGCTTCGCGAAATCTCTTCTCGTGCTCCCTTCAAATCCGAGATATCCCTGCTGTTGCACAACTCTGTATGCTCGTGTAGCGACCACCCCTGCCCGTACACTTAAGTACACAACTCTGTATGCTCGTGTGGCGACCACCCCTGTCCGTACACTCATGTAGTCATTAACCCTAGGCCCTGCCTACCCAATTCTTCCTCACTCTTTCTCCTTTCTTACACTATTATCTCTTATTGGCCACTTGCTATCGGGAGAATTAAGATTTGAAACAACCAGCATTATGAGGCAAAATGAGCTGATCTTAAAAATCAGGATTTTTCAAAATAGCCTTCTATATGAGAAAGGCTTTTACACCGGACGCTGTGGTAGTTTGGTACCCTGAGACAGATGCGGAAAGATGGCAAACCGGTTGTGCGTGCTTCTTCTTTGTTGGATGATGTCGTGGAAGAGTATTTTAATGCGGCACAAAACCTCGTTGCCGGGCCGAGCCGCTGAAATAACCCCATCACCTCCATGAGGAGAGTACTTAACCCCGCTCTTGCTGACGAAATAAGTCTATTGTAGTGATAGACATGAACTAGTGCCACAGAGTTTGCGTGGTTTGAAGTCTTCCATGCATGTTGATGTGTGTGTGTGTTTGTGCGCGTGTGTGTGTTTGTGTTTGTGAATGTGTTTATGTGTGTTTGTGTGCGTATGTTTGCATGCGTTTGCGTATGTGTGCACTTGTGTGTATGTGTGCATGTGTGTGTGTATTTGTGTGCATGTGTACGTGTGTGCGTGCATATGTACGTGTGTGCGTTGGTATGTCTATACTGGTGTGGTGTCTTTCTTTTGACTTTGTTTGACTGGAGAAGTGGTCATCATGACCAATCCACGTGCACGTTCCAAATTGAGCACCGGGGCATTGGCAGGAATTGTCATTGGAAGCTTACTGGCAGTTGCAGTGTGTGGAGGTGTTGTTTTAACACTGTCCAAGAGAAAGTCTCCAGGATTGAGGTATGTGCAAGTAACTGCATTACTCTTTCCATGTCTCTTTAACACTTGCGGCGTTAAGTCATTGATGATATATGGCCTACATCAGTGGTCCGTTGCGTGAAATAAACCAGTCAGCATTGCTGTATCTGAGATAATTTCCTAATACCTCTATGCATCATCGACCTTGTTAACTAGATATTGTGCATATTCTCTATTTATGATATAAGTGTTGTGCTTGTATTCTTCAACACAGCTCCACACCGTGCTTATAAAGGAGACCGCACCTTTATTGGAGACCATGCTTACATTTTTTCAAACAATACATCCATGCAGAGCAAGAAGAAATACATGCTAGCTATCTTGCACACAGCATTGTTTCCAAAAAGACCGTGCTAATAATAGAGACTGTGCTTATCATGTTTCGAAAGGAGCTCGCAGTGTGCTAGTATTAGAGACTGTGCTAGTAATAGAGACCTGCGCTTAAATATAGAGAATATACGGCAAATGCGTTTCTAGAATTGTGCCCTCTCTCGAACAGTATGCCTGTCTCTAAGAGCCAATGAAAAGACGATGAACCCTCTTGAATGGTGCTCCCTCCTTGGCCTTGTGGTCAAGTCGATGTGCAAGTTTGGTGCTGTTTTGCTAATGACCTTGCCCAAGTAATTGTCCAGGTGGATTTAGGATCAAAATCGCAATTCTTCGTGTAGGTTCTGTTGAGTTGTGATAGTTTATACTTGTTTTGAGGCATTTATACAAAAGAGAAAGGACCAAGGAACTGCAAGTTACGCTATACTGTCCACTTACACCACCAGCTACTAAACAATCAGCTCATGCGATAACATTGCACGACACTGATCGACGGTACTGACGTTCTACAACTAACTGGCTAACGGCCCTAGCACATCTTGGATGCGCACTCCAACAGCCTTCCAACTTGGAAGGTTCTAAGTAAAAGAAATAACATCAGGAGGTGAAGACATCCGAGTCCACTCTTGTTTTGAGGTCGTAAACTTTCGACTCTATTTTTTACTACTTTTATGGTGGATGACGTGAATGTACCAGCATTGCAACTAAATACAACACCTCTTTAGCATTGCCCCGTCGGTGATGGACTCTGAAAGAATAGTGCCCCACAGGCTAATCAAGCGAGTACAGATATTTCACGCCATAAATGGAATATTGCTTTTGTTCCATTAGTAGTGGCTGTGGGCTCTTATTTGAGCATATAGATCGGAAAAAGGGGGCTTATGTCATTATTGAGCATGTTGAGCTATCTTTCCATGGTATTGCTGTATCGCAGCAGATCACTCTGTGAAGACCTAGGTCCAAAATATACATCCTTCACAGAGCTGCGGGTGTTTCAATAAATAAATTATACCTCGCTTTAAGCAGAAAACTTCACTTTCAAATGCATATTTCTCAGCACTGCGTGAAACGACATAAGCCCCTTTTTCGGATTTAGATGCTCATTTACGACTTACTCAGGTGTCCCTGGATCCCTTTCTCGTCATGTTGGGCTGTCGGTCAGGAAGTGAAGCTTCGTGGTGGCTTCATTCGAGTTTCTGCGAAGGCAGGAATTATTCCTCATGATGTATCAGTGCTGGTGGCGTAACTATAAAGAAACGGAAGTGAATGCGTGCCTGCATGTACAAACACTCCTGCCCACACAATCACATGAATTAACCGCCATGTGTACTTTAACCACCATTTTGTTGCCTCTCGTTATGGTGCTGTGTTAGAGTTTGCATGTGATTCCGTAACTTGGATGCTATTTTTTTTTATCGCGAAAGCTTAGTAGGTCTCTTCCAGTTTTAGTCAGTCCAAGTTCTGTCATTTTCTGTGTACTTGATTCATATGTCATGTAGGAAAAATATTTCTCTGACAAACAGAGAACAACAAGGTCAGCCAAGGCTAGTTAGTGGCAGCTCAGAGGATGCTACCGACACAATGAATCCTGATTTGCTCTAAGATGGAGGTAAGACATTCCATGAGTTTACTGAGAGAGTACATGTGATCAATTTATGTAACATCTTTTCTATGTAAGGTACAGAAAAAGTCGTCAGAAGGGGTCAGGGCAGGGAATAATGCGCCCCATTCACCACTCTCAGTCAGTATCTGGCATTCTATGCAGCGTTTTCCGGAGAGAAAAGGAGGCCTTTTTTCAGCTCCGCCCTATAGACAATACTATTAGCACTCCAGCAAGTCGGAGGGGGTTACTGCACGGTGCTTATAGGCCGGAGAGCTCGCTGCAGACAATGGCGCACAGGACCCATTGAGAAAGGTATCATCAACGGAGTTGCGGGGCAACACAGTCACATTCCTCGCTGAAAAGGTTACCTAAAGCATGGGCTACACCAGCTTACCGGATCAGCTCTGTGTCTCTGTTGACCACGTCTATTCTTGTTTTATGAGCGTTGGATTTGCGCCAGGATAGCAAATGTATGGAGTACATCATGTACATGTTGATGTACATGGAGTTGACGGACTTGGCTGTAGTGCCGTTTATTTGTAGTTTCGCTGAGCTACCACAGCAGATAAACCTCTGGTCGCTGTATGTGGAGAGTGGAGAAAGCCATTGTGCAGACAAATTGGTCAAGAACAGATGTCTTGCCAATACTGCATTCAATATGCAGCTGAAAATATGCACAGAAATGGCACTCTGAGAATTTGCAAAATTGCATCGCTAACGCAGTGCAGCTACGCAATGCAGTATGCACCGTGTATGGAGTTCAGTGTCATCCACGCCGCGTTTCCGCTAAGATTGGGCTACTAAATCGAAGTGCAGCATGTTTGCCTTTTTCTTGCCGTGTTCAATTTTTCAGGTCCTTTATACTATCAGAATTTGACTATGCATCTGCTGCCTATGCCCCTTACTTATCGTCTTATCAGGATAAGCGCCTAAATAGTTTGTTCAAACGTGCGGCTCGCTCGGTGTGCCGGGCGGCCCCTCGCACTCACACGGCTCCCTTACTTGAACGCATGAATGCCCATACCCTCAGCATATACACCCACATGCACATTCTTGTATTCATTTGGCGCTGCCTGAACAAACCTTCAAGTACTCTGTTTGCAAGCTTTTTCACACGTAGTCCCTCTCTCCGAACACGAGGAGGGAGCAGCAAGTTACTCATCATTCCTGTCTCCCCCACTGCATCCTCAGCTAAGCGCATTAGCCATGCTGGAGCTATCCTGTGGAACCAGCTCCCAGACACAGCACGCCTCGAAAGAAAGCGCTCCACTTTCAAATCGCTAAGCCTGGCCTTTCTGTTAGGCAGTACCGTCAACTAGGATGAACTCATCTGCTTCACTACCTCTCTCTCTCTCTCTCTCTCTCTCTCTCTCTCTCTCTCTCTCTCTCTCTCTCTCACTCACTCACTCCTTTCTTCCCGGTTGCCGTGCTTGTGACTTTTTTCCCCTGCTGCCGTGCTCATATTAGTTATCTACCTACAGCTGTATCTTCTTCTTGGTTCTGTTTGTCCGCTTATTATTATATATTTTTCTTTTCTCTTATTATCAGTGGGACCATTGTCATTAGGTTTAGGCCTGTTTTGGAACTCCACTTTAAATAAAGCCAAACAACAACAACAACAACAAATCCACATAGCATGGGCAAGGTAGGGCCAGTGTATTTGTTGACTTTATAATTTACATCCAAATTACGCTTGCACAATCATCCGATAAATGAACTGTCTGTTGATTGGGCAAATCGTACGAATGAATTACATGTAACGTGCGACGCCAATTTCCCCGAAGTGCTGCACGCGCCGTATATGACTGGGAACAGGTTGTTCTTCTAAAGCTGATGATTAGCAGGACTGCTGCTGCCTTGGCGTGGCTGAAGATTAAATCTTGTTGCAACGGTGCAGCATACCTGTCAATTGGCTGCATGCATCCGGTCCCGCGGCGCAACATGGCCGGGTGCGGGTGCCGTCTCGGCTGAGTGTGTATGTTATTCTCTTGGATGCTTCATCTACCATGTCTACATGGGGTAGATAGTTGTAATTTCCTCCTGGTGATGAGTCTTTGTAGTACCTGTAGTCCAATTAGCTTCAGCCTGTGAAGGGTTACATCTTTTGCATCTATTTCGACTAATTTGTGTGCCTTGCTATGGTGGTTGCCAGGGGCATAATTTGAATTAGGCTTGATTGAATACCAAACAAATTGGTCAAGTGATGGAAGTTCTCTATTGGCTATCATTTGAGAAAATTTGAAAGACCCTGAACGAAATTGATTTTCACCTTTTCTAGTTGGTTTTGAATTTCCCAGTTTTGTGCCACTGGCCTGCATCAAAACTTTTCCAGCAAAAGTGCCAACAAGCGCACTTCAAACGACCATAACTCTTGAACGTCTGGTCGGATTTAGACAAACCTTATATATTTTCCGACTAATTTATCCTACTCTTTCCAATGAGACTAAAATCGACGAGATCGGAGCCACTTTCAAGAGCACCCTATCTTAACCACTGTTGGAGCATCAGATCGCTAACTTGTCGGAAGACTTCTGTCTCTTGAGTGCGTGTTAAACTGGAATCTAGGCACGTGTGTAGCTAATAAAAAAGCCTAAAAGGTGAGCTACTTCTCGACAGCCGAGAATCAGCTGGCCTGTCAAACTTCACGGACAAGCCCTGTGACCATTGATTTGACTATCTCGGCCAGTACTCTGTTTTCTTTTACGTATCTGTGCACCTTATGTGCGGTAGCATACACACCAACCATCCAGGTTTTCTCGGGACAGTCCAGATAATAGGTTGTTTGTTACGGGGTCCTGGGATGTCCTGCGAAAGGCCAGGGATTGAGATGGAACTTTTTATATCGAAGTTCTCCTTTTTCTGATACTTTTTCAGTGTATATTAAAACTTGTAGATCCCGTCTACAATTCGACAGGTTCGCGTAACGAGCAGGTCAAGAACAAGAAGTCGTACAACTCCCTGGTCAAGAACCACCTTTCCGCTTCCGTGGGACGCCACCACCCCATGATCAGGGGTCAGATGCGGCTCCTAAACGGTGGGTGGGATAGATCAGATCCACCAACCATAGGCCAAAGTCCTAAATCCCATTTGCCACCTCGTCTAAGTGTAGAAGACAAAAAACACCCATGTGAAATATGTGGAACTGCAATGGATCGCCGGTATAACGGTAGTCAACCGAAAGTTTACTTTAGGTGCAGTTACTGCTCAATGCAATGGCATCCCGCTTGATTGAGCAGCAGTCAAGACTACACATCTGCTAATGATGGATGCACTAAACAAATTGGTGTCCAGGGAAGACGAACAAAATCAAGGAAATTCAGCCTCGTTGTTCAGGGAACTCAAGACTCCAGGTTGGCATGTATGCGGTCGGAATATGGAGATTCCATGATTCAGGGTTTTTGCCGAGCACCTCACTAGCTTCCTCAATAGGCAGGGATTAATAATTACCGACCACAAGTATGGCTTTGTCTCCTGCAAGTCGACACTCGACCAGCTAATTGTCCTGTCTTCAAGAGTGGCTAAAGCACTCGACAAGCGCACTGGCTACCATTCTCTATTCTTGGATTTCGCGGAAGCGTTTGACAATGTACCGCACACTGTTCTTCTCCGTCATACCCCTACTATCATGTCCCCTGAAGCCGTTTCTTGGTCCACCAACTACGTCAGAGACCATTCCTTCTGTGTCAAAGTTCTCTCCGCCATGTCGCCGACCCACCCAGTTTCTGCAGGCGTTCCCCCCTTCTCGACAGCCGAGAATCAGCTGGCCTGTCAAACTTCACGGACAAGCCCTGTGACCATTGATTTGACTATCTCGGCCAGTACTCTGTTTTCTTTTACGTATCTGTGCACCTTATGTGCGGTAGCATACACACCAACCTTCCAGGTTTTCTTGGGACAGTCCAGATAATAGGTTGTTTGTTACGGGGTCCTGGGATGTCCTGCGAAAGGCCAGGGATTGAGATGGAACTTTTGATATCGAAGTTCTCCTTTTTCTATCATGTCCCCTGAAGCCGTTTCTTGGTCCACCAACTACGTCAGAGACCATTCCTTCTGTGTCAAAGTTCTCTCCGCCATGTCGCCGACCCACCCAGTTTCTGCAGGCGTTCCCCAGGGATCTCATCTTTGCCCCATTCTTTTCATTCTCTGCATTAATGCCCTTCCTCGCACCATATCGTCTGATGTCACTCCTGATGTGCTCTTATTTGTCGATGACACTACTCTTGGGAGAGCAGCCGGAGGACCTAACCAACAACAAATGGTCCTCCCCCTCCAGGCCGCCACTGATGGCGTTCTGCAATGGGCTGATTCAGTCGGAGGGTGCTTCAACCCTTCGAAGTCTTGCACCATGCAGTTCTCTCCTAGAAGTCGTGCTGAACGTGCCCACCCTACTCGTCCGACTCCGCACCCAAGAATGCAGGGAGATGACGTGTCTGATGTAACGACTCACCGACATCTTGGAGTCATCTTGGACTCTAACCTCGACTTCACCGACCACGTCGCCACCATCACGACAAATTTTCGCCGGCGAGCGGTCCTGCTGACCCACACGACCAAGCGTATCACCCCTGCCGTAGCCAGCTGCTTGTACACTGGATATGTTCGACCTGTGGTTGAATACGCCTCATTCCTCTGGCAATTTCAACTCTCCAGTGCTCAGGCTACTACCCTTGAACGGCTGCAGGCAAGAGTGGCACGTGCGATCCTGCGACAGTATGGCGTGTACCCTCCTCAAACGGAGCCGAAAGCCTCACTTTTCGCGCACCTCCAGTGGCCCAGCCTCGCATGGCAAAGACGCATTCAGTGCCTTCTTGAGCTCCACCACCTTATCAATAGCCAGATGACGACCTTGGAGGACCTAGGCTACTCAGTGTCAAACAGCGCCAGGTACCCCCAACATCTACTCACACCTGCTAGAGCCAGCATACACACTCGTGCCACCTTTCTCTTTGTCACCACTGCCAGATGGAACTCCCTCCCGGCTGCCATTCGTACTTTATCCAGCCCAAAATGTTTTACCGCTCTTGTCCGCACACACTTTGCTATCACCCGTTATGAGCCCTCTGGTTTCATTCCATGTAGAGTAGCGATGGCATAGAGCACTGTGTTATATTACCACCCCGCATCATTCTATTTCCCATTTTCTCCTCAGCTTCTTCTTCATAAACTGTTGACGGAGACTCCCTCGCTTTAGGCTCAGGCCTGTGGAGAATCCATAAATACAAATACAAAATACAAACAATCGACGAGGAGACAATAGTCGTAAAATGGCAATAAATAAGATAAATTGTGCACTCATAACAACAGCAAAAATGAAGAAAGTCAAGTTCCATAACGTTTTCTTGTGACTGTCATCAGTGGAACGCCGTCACATAAAAATGTAATAACTAAAACACATACTTATATACATGTAGCTAATATGGTTTCAGGTAAAAAATACAGCAGCTAACAAGTACAAAAAGCGAAGTTTGCACCTTTGCAATGTGTGAATATAGTGTATGTGAGAAAGGTAGTGGCAGATGAATGTGATACTGACAGTATCACATTCATCTGCCACTACCTTTCTCACATACACTATATTCACACATTGCAAAGGTGCAAACTTCGCTTTTTGTACTTGTTAGCTGCTGTATTTCTACCTGAAACCATATTAGCTACATGTATACAAGTGTGTGTTTTAGTTATTACATTTTTATGTGACGGCGTTCCACTGATGACAGTCACAAGAAAACGTTATGGAACTTGACTTTCTTCATTTTGCTGTTGTTATGAGTGCACAATTTATCTTATTTTTTGCCATTTTACAAAATACAAACTTCGTGTTCTCAAGTTTTGATGTGAATTTTCATCCGTGAGATTGCTGGACACCTCTGAGATGCATTGAAACCCAGACCTATGTTTATATGTTTACCATGGTGCACATACTCTTCCCTTTGCCTGTGTTGTTTCCGCAGGCACTCAGTCTTCCAAGGATGCTAGCAGTGGAGCAAGGACATTATGTCAATTCTATTTGTATTGTTTGTTAACACAGGCAGCCTCGATAATTGCTCCTGGGTGTGGTTTTACCATATGATCATGTACTGGTATTGAGGACGAAATGGTAATACATTCACATGCATACGAAGGTTGATGTTTGTTTGTAGAGAGCAGATGACGAACTACAGAGCTGGCACAGATCTACTGCATGTTTTTTTGTGTACTACGATTTCTGCTTTATACTGTTAGTTTGCAGAGTAATTGTGACAAACATACAATTTCTTTTGAACTCTGTTTTTCTTTGCTTTGCTGAACTGTCCATGCTACTTATTATTTATTCAGTTTTAAATAGTAATTTGTTATATCACACACATAGTCGCGTAGGATACTGTACTCTGAGTTGTCGCTGTTAGGCATTTCTTCTGTATGCTTATGATTGCATGCATTGCACTGTAGTTGTGCCCTCTAAGTTCCCTGTTGCGGCCGTGCAAAAAAAGTAATTCAGCACCTTTCTTCTTTGATTTCTCCTGCGTGAGAAGGATTTTGGACTTCTCTTTTTAATATTCTTCAGAAACCTGCCTGCAGTTTTGTATTTCGCTACGCTTTGCTAGGGTATCTGTGTGAGGATGTATGCCCTCAACAGTATTTTGTGTACTGTAAGGTGTGTTCAACACACTGACACCCACAACCAGTGAATGATAATAATGATACATGTAATAATGTTTAGAATCAACTCGTAAAAACTCCAAGTCAATCTTCAATTGACACAAACCTCGTTTATTCAACATAATCATATCCTATCCAATAAAAATAGTTCATAAAAACAGTTCATAAAAACAGCTTTTTAGGATCGGACCCAGTCTGCATAACCAAGAAAGCTAGTTTCCCTTGGCTGCTGATGGAATATGCAAGAATGGGCCTTCCAGATAAGGTCTTACAAGGAGAAGTGGCTATATTTATTAAAAGAACACCGGTAACCATGGAAACAGACCACACTCTCATATAGAGACTTGTTATACTCAAGTCTGTGGACAACAACTGTTTCGCTCTGTTAGAGCTCATCAGCACAGCTCAGAGGACCGAAGCGCAGCTCTTCGCAATCTGATTGCCTATGAAGAGTAAAATAAATTGAACCAATGACAACAAAACTCGTCCTGCACACGAGTTGTCATACAAACACAAATAACAGCTGTCCACTAATTTTGTTGTTGGAGATTGAGTAGGAGTTTCTACTGGTTGATTCTTATATATGGATTCAAACAAGTTTTCGTACAACACTCATCAGGAATCGTCGTTTTACTTAAGGACACTGAAACAAAAATTGAACTATTATAGAAAATCTAAGTTAGAGAAATAACACTAAGAGCAACAACAGTGAAATTTACAAGTGTGAATTTTAACAATCAAAGCGAGAAATGAATAAAGGAGAAAGGAAGGAAAGACAACGTGATAACACACAGCAGCAGTACATTACACCTAGAACATTAACGGCCTCTTAGTGTTATTTCTCTAACTTTCTATAATACGAATTAGTGGTTGCGACTTCGGCGATGATTTGTAAGAAAGGTTTGCTCCCCACACCGGAGCTCGCGCTATTCCGCCGACTTTACATCTATAATAGTTCAATTTTTTGTTTCAGTGTCCTTTAGTACAACGACGATTCCTGATGAGTGTTGTAGGAAAACTTGTTTGAATCCATATTTTTCCCTACACCATTTCTTCATATTTTCATCGTTTTATTGCACCTCGTCTCCACCGTTTTTTTGCATTGCATGAATAAAGTACACAAATGTCGGTTCAGCTAGTTTTATTGATTGCGGTTATCAAATTATTGTCTCCTCGCCGTGTGTTTTCATACTACTATAGTAATGTTAATAATATTGATCATTGGTTTGAGGGTAAGACACAAACGGGAGAAGTCTGAAGAAAAAATTGACTGTCACAATCAGGACTCGAACCAGGGACCCTTGCTTGCAGCCGGCGCTGCTCTAACCACTGAGCTACGGTGTAGTCATCGTCCCACCAGAGACCGTTCAACATTTTCTTCAGACTTCGTAACTCACACTTCCTGTGAATGCACACATGCGGGTGGGACACAGCCCTCACTGTAGTGTGGTTCTGCTCTGTAGTGAGGTTCTGCTCTGTAGTGAGGTTCTGCTCTGAAGTGAGGTTCTGCTCTGTAGTGAGGTTCTGCTCTGTAGTGAGGTTCTGCTCTGTAGTGAGGTTCTGCTCTGTAGTGAGGTTCTTCTCTGTATTGAGGTTCTGCTCTGTAGTGAGGTGTAGTATCCCTGCCCGACCAATACGGAAGCAGTACGGAACTAATACGGAACGACCTTATGTTGCCGCATATAAGCGTACGGCGTCTGCTGCATAAAAGCAGCTGCGTTTTTCTGTTTTAATTAGATTAGATTAGATAGCAACGAAAGCTAACTCGAAGAAGAAGAAATCAGCCTCTAGGTGAGCACCGGAGAGAAAGTTATTTATTTGCCGCTTCTTCTTTCACTAATAATTATTCCCGTAGCTATGCAGAAGACGTTACTTCAGTAACGTCTTGCGCTAGCCAGGGTCCACACAGCTTTAATTTGGTGTTTGTTTGTGTGTTTGTTTGTGTCACGCCTGGCGCTATCCGTATCTGACGGCAAAAAAGCATAGGATGTTATAAATTTTTCAATTCCCCTTTTTTTAAGGCATATCCTGGGATTCGAACCCGCACTATCGCCCTACATGCATTCCCCCATACACTTCGCATTCATACCCATTCTTCCAAGTTGCTTTACGTTATTATCTTGCGTTTGAAAGCCCTATTTGAATATTGCGGGCAGCTGTATGTGGCCAGCTGTGTTTGATGGTACGGTACGGGAGACGGTGTCGTATTACCCTCGATCGTACCTGTCCCGTACCTATCCCCTACCGTACCGTGCCATCAAAGACGGCTGGCCACAATGAATATTCAAATAGGGCTTTCAAATGCAAGATCACAATGTGAAACAACTTGGAAGAATTAGTATGTATGCGAAGTGTATCGGGGGATGCATGCAGGGAGCGCGATAGTGCGGGTTCGAATCCCAGGTTATGTCTTAAAAAAAAGGAATTTTTTAAAGAATTTATAACATCCCTATGCTTTTTTTTGTCTAGGTCATCAAGGCAAAAAAGCATAGCGTAGGGCCCTGAGCTTCCAAGCTCTCTCGTATCTCAGGTGTGTACCTGAGAGAAGTAGAATAAAACTAATTCTTGTAGATTTCACCGCGCCTACCACTCGGATACCCATTACATGAGGTTCTGCTCTGTAGTGTTGTTGTTGAAATTTTATTTTGTATCGCAGACCAAACGGGCAATGGTGCCCAATATTATGATGGCGATAAAGTAACGGCCGAGAGCCAAGGATACAACAAGCAAGCCTCCACGAAAGAGAGAAAAACACAGAAAACACAGACTGCAATACTCAAAAAGAAAAAAGAGAAAGGGAAAAAAAGAAAAAGAAAGAAGAAGAAAGCACAGTTGAGTCACAGTTGAGTCACGACTCCAAGTCCAAGCCTAGATGCTGGCTAACCATAAAAATAAACCTTTAAAAGTCTCTTGAATGATTTATGGCAGGCGAGGGACTTGAACTCGATGAGCTGGCAACACAATAGGTTTCATCAGGGTGTCCAAGTAATCACCAGCAACACTCCCTCTCAGCTACTTCACCTCATCTCCGAGCAACAGATGTCGTCGCTGACTCAGCACCTGACATTTTAAGAAATCCCTGTAACTATCCATCCAGTCAAACAGTGCCTGATTGTCCGTCTTCACCCATCAAGAGCTTAACCATCGCCCACATCAACATCTGTAGCCTAAGAAATAAAACTCATGAAATCCATTGCATAATGTACAAGTACAGAATCGATGTGCTAGCAATCAGTGAAACATGCTTAGACTCTACTGTGATGAATTGCGATCTTGCTATACCAGCCTACACTCTCTATCGCCGGGACCGAGCTGATCGCAGAAAGGGTGGCGGCGTTGCCATGTATGTGCAGGAACAACTGAAATCCAGGCAACTTCAAGTCAACGACAGGCTAGAGACCATATTCGTTGGGTTGCACACCCATAGCCGAACGAATCCATTTCTATCCATCGGCTGCGTATACCGCGCTCCCGACAGCCATGTGGATTTCTGGGAGCAGCTCGACAATAGCGTGCAGATGGCCTCCGCGACATGTCCGGACATCCTCCTCCTCGGTGATTACAATGTCAACATGCTCTCTGTCCCACCTCACCCAAACGCCCGCTATGTACAAGGCCTCTGCGCTGACCACAGCTTACAAAACGTCATACTACAGCCCACCAGAGTTCCTAGTCAGTCATGCCTAGACCTTGCACTCATACCGACAACAATGACAACGGCTGCTCCGTCTTCCTCTCCCATGTCTCTTCATAGTACATTTGTTCACAGCGTCGATGGCCTGTCCGACCACCATCTTATTGGCCTCTCTGTCCGTGTTAGTAGAGCCAACTTTGAACAGCCACACGAGCAATTCTCTCGAAGACGCCAACCTAGCCTGGCTCACCTTGACCGTAGTGTAACGTCTGCAGCTCTCAAACACATCCTTGACCCCTCAGATGTATCCGGCAGTTATACTCTAAATGCAGCGGCAAGCCACTGGCAACAAAGTGTCATGACAGTACTAGATGATCTTGCACCATTCGTTACCCAGAAGCGCGCAGCTTACTCCAAACCCCGCCCCCAGCCCTGGGTCACCCCAGAGCTGAAACAGATGTTTCATCGACGAAGCTCAGCCCACCGCGCCTTAATAAAGCACCCCATGGATGACCACCTCCGACAGCAGTATCGTGCAATACGTCGTCAAGGAACTTTACTAAACCGCAAACTGAAAAGTGTGTACTACAAAGATAAGTTCAGTGCCGCTACAGGAAATCCTAGACTCCAATGGGCAGTGCTGAATCAACTAACTGGAAGGAGAAAATCCCACCCCACACCGAAAGCCTCCCTCTCATCTTTGTCAGATACCCTAGGCAATATCGTCCATGATGAACACCGCGCTGCTCTTACGACCCCAGACACTCCGGCGGACGACTGTTTAGACAACTGCCTTCTCGAATTCCAACCCGTTACAACAGCAGCAGTAACGAAGATTCTCGAACGATTGAATACCACGAAAGCATCTGGATCAGACGGCATACCAGCTTACATCTTGAAACACCATGCCGCCGAGCTGGCCAATTCCTTAACTTCCATCTTCAACCAGTCATTGTCTAGCGGAAAGGTACCGTCAGCCTACAAACTAGCGTCTGTGTGTCCAGTGTTTAAGAAAGGCGACCCCTACGACAGTTCCAACTATCGCCCAGTCTCGCTACTGCCCATTATCTCCAAAGTTTTGGAATCACTAGTGCTCCAGCAGCTTCACGACCATCTGGACATCACACCCGGAGCAATTCCAAATGAACAGTTTGCATACAGGCGTAACCACAGTACTGAGGACCTTTTAACACTTGCCATCAATAACTGGCAGAGAAGCATGGATACCGGAGATTATACGGCCGTACTGCTGCTCGATATGAGCAAAGCCTTTGACCGCGTCCACCATCAAACGCTAATAGATGACCTTCACAATCTGAAGATCCGTGGAAATGCTCTTGAGTGGTTCAAGTCGTATCTGTCTCACCGACAGCAACGCGTAGAAGTGAACGGAACCTCAAGTGACTGTAGAACCTGCACTAGGGGCGTACCCCAGGGTTCCGTCCTAGGCCCTACCCTCTTCAGCATCTACACTCGACTTGTCCCCACTCTGCCATTGCGTTCCCAATGCCTTCTTTATGCAGACGACACCACCCTGTATGCCTCTGGAAAGTGTCCACGAATTCTCATGTCTTACTTAGAAGACGATTTTTCCGTGGTTAAGCAGCACCTCACAGATCGCGGCCTGCTCCTGAACTCCAGCAAGAGCCAAGTACTACTGATCCACAGCAGACGCTCACATCCCCCACCTAACCTGAGCATTGTCTGTGGTTCGACTGTTATTGCCCCGTCTGACGAAGTTAAGTATCTAGGACTGACTCTCGATTCAACTTTAAGTTTCAGTGCCCACGTTAACTCCCTCAGGGAAGACATCGGAAAGAAACTAGGTGCTTTTCGACGTGGAAGGAGGAACCTTGCTGTACAGGCCAGAAGGCAGTTCTACTTGTCAGTAGTCCAGAGCAAGCTCGAGTACGCCAGCACTGCCTATGTCCACTGCCTCGCTGACAATGTGAGAGATCAGCTGCTACGCATAAGTAAGAGAGCACTTAGATGCATATTTGAGCATGACACATTCACGCGGACATCATACTTGCTTGAGCGATACCACATAATTAGCTTAGACAAAAGATATCATACTAAGTCCATATTCTTCGTGTTCCGTTGCATCCACAATATCTGCAGTTCACTCCTCTCTGACATGTTCTCCCTTCGCCGTGACTGCGCTCACACAGACAGAGTAACCCGCGGCCAAGTCAATTATTCCCTTTCCTTACCCATTGTGCAAGCCCAAGCTGGATACAGATCTATTTCATTCCTTGGTGCTGACCGCTTTAATGCGCTTCCCGAATCCCTTCGCACAAATCATATCCCCAATTCATTTCGCCAGGAACTTAACAATTTCATTCATCTTGGGCACCCTGTAAGAAGACCTTAGGGTCTGTTGGGAATGCCCAAGTAAAATAATAAAATACAATACAATACAATACAACTCTTGGGGCAGGGCGTTCCATAATTTAACAGCAGAAACGAGCGGCCGACAGTCACCAGAGACTCGCCTGGTGGCAGGGACAACATACGCATTTGGATCGTTGATCCGAGTGACGCCTTCAGTCTGGCGACGTAGGCGCTTGGACAGGAGATTACTAATTCTGGCGGTGTGGATACAAAGCATGAGGAGGCGGAGTTTACAGTGGGCGTTTTGGATGATGGGGATGAGGCCTAGACGGGTGTAGATGGGATCTGTGTGGGAGGGGAATGGCTGGTTGGCAACGCAGCGGATACATCGCTTGTCGAGGACCGAAAGCTGATGCCGTTGGTGCGCAGAGAGAACCGAGAAGAAGGCATTAGATCCATACAACATGTCCGGTAGTATTAACGATCTGTAAAATAGCAGGGCTTGTTGCTCAGTTAAGCAGGAGCGAATGGCTCGCAGCGCCGTCAGTTTCTGGGAGGTCTTCCGTGCAATAGTTGCAACTTGAGTCTCCCACCGAAGCTGGGTGTCGAGATGTAGACCTAGATATTGGTGTACTAGCTGTGCTAGTACTTGTT